AAAAAAAAAAAAAGAAATGGAACTTAGTAGTCTGGTCTTTGGTTTGTAGGCAAGGCCATTGACACCCAGAAAGGACAAATACTTTGCCTGAAGCCACACAGCCTGTTAATTACAGAGCTGGAACCATAAAGTTGTCATCCATAAAGTTGGGAACTTCCTAAGTTTGCTACTTCATCTGTACCCACCCACAGGGGTACCATGGCTATGCTCACCTGGTACAGGTAGCCAGACACATGGCATTGGCTTCCCCTATGTCAGGACACTGAACAGCCTCCTCAAACCAGGCAGCAAACTGTTTCATTGGGTCCAGAGAGGTCAGATGAGTTTCCTCAAATGCCTGGGAAGGGAGTTTTATTGCACTTAATAAACACATACACTGCTTACTAAGCACCTGGCACTGTCCTAAGCACTTTTCAAATAGCCGCTCATTTTGTCCTTATAACAATGACCTCAACAATGACCTTTAACAGCAGTTAAAAAACAGTTCCTAGTAAGCAGATTCTCTGCTCCATTTTACAAGTGAAGAAACAGGCATAAAAAGGTCTGTTAACATGCCCAGTCCCACTGCTAGCGATGGACGAATCCGGGTTTCATGTCATGGATGTCAAACCTAACTGTGAGTCAGAAAGCTGGGAAGCCTTAAAAACACACACACACACACAAAAAGAAAAGAGGTTCTTGAGCTCCATTCCCATAATTTCTCATTCAGTAAGTTTTAAGTTTAATGATAAACAGCACTTTTAACATTTCTGGAAATGCTCACATGCAACCAGGTTGGTAATTACGGGTCTGGACCCTAATTTCAAAACTATTCACTTGGTTCCTATGCTAAGGAGAGAAAGGGAAAAGATCTTCAAGAGGTGAGCAGAAGGTCCTTAAAGCAGTCGCTAAGAGCTTTCTCCTCCCCTCCTCTGTGAACCGCCCCCCTTCCTGCCCCATATTCCACTTATTTTAGTTATTAAATATGTGGTAAGCTGTTTATCACAGTTCTAAGCACTTTACAAATATCTAAGTCTCATAACATTCCTGGGAGGTAGGTGCTAGTACTTTACAGACGAGGAAACTGAGGCTCGAAGAGATTAAGAGTTTCAAGCCAGGCAGGCTCCAGAGTTCGAGTTCTTACCCGCTAGTACAGGCTGCCTCTTAACTCATCTTCATCCACGTCTCTCTAGAACCCCTCCCCAGTGGTTGTCTTTGATCACCCCCTTCTCCCATAGGGGTGACCCTGAACCCCTATGCGGCTTTTCTAACTCCCCTCCCCTCCGCAGACGACTCGGGCACCCCTATTCCCCTGCACCCTACGGGAGACCTATCTGGACTGCAGCACCTCTTGGTCTCCGCGGTAACTCTTGCGCATGGGTCCCAAGTCCATGGCAGCACCGCGACTACACAGGCGACGGATGTGGGCTGCCCACTCGGCAGGTCTCCGGAACGTCGTAAAGACGCCCCGCAACCCCCACGTCATGGGGGCCGCCGGCCACGTGACACGGCGTAGCCCAGCGCTGGGTTCCGTTGGATTCGGAACCAATTTCTCAGTCCGGGTATCTACACCGAGGAAGGACGAATTTGCCAGTCTTCCAGCCAAGCTAACAGGTCCCAAGTCCTCGGAACCAATGGCAGTTCAGGATCGGAGGAGGGAGACAGGCAGGGAGAGGTCATTGGTTGGAGTTTTCTGGTAGTGAAGCCAATTAGAACGAGAACAGAGGAATCTAGTGGCCAATGGGCAGCGCCTCCGGGGGCGGGAGCAGAGAGACAAGGAAATGCTGTCACCGCCGTTAACACGCACGTGGAGGTTTGTTAAAGGTATAGAGACTGTTGCCGCTCAGGCGGGGCCGGGCGGATTAGTCCCTGCGGGCTTCAGGGGAGTGGTCAGTATTAAGTGGCTGGCCCATAGGAGGTGTCTGAGGGCGAGTTTAGTGCAGGAATTACCCCTGGAAAGTGAGGCTAGTACACTGGGAAAGGAAACATGGAAAATGGAATTAGTGGCCAAACTCTAAAGCAAGGTTATAGGGACACATAGAGAAAGGGGCGATATGGTTGGGAGGAGAAATTCCCAAGAATTGAGAGTGGGAGAGGTTGATTTGAGAATCATGCGAGATAGATGCTATGCGCTTGGGGGGGGGGGTGGTACCCTGGGAACTGGGAAGGTGCAGGGTGGGGAGGTGGCAGGGGAGGGTGGTAAGGTCAGGAATGACTGTGGAGCGAGGAGGAGAATTGCTGAACAAGTCAAGGGAAGAAGGAAATTGGAGCAAGTCATCCCAGACCAGAGTGGGGCTTCCTCTTCTAGCTCTGAATCCCCTCCTTCCAGGCTGCTTTCTTTAATGGGGGCTCAGAGCATACTGTTCTCTTTGCTCAGAGTACACTGGGGTTCACACTAGCCAGACCTGTGGTAGATGGAAAGGCTTCTGCTGCATTCTCCCAGGCCACTTTCCAAAGCCAGCAATAGCCAACTGAGGGTACAGGGCAGCAGGTGTCTGTGCAAAGAGGGGATGCAGAAATGGGAAACCTGGCTCAGTGCTGTAGTTCAGCAGCTAGGGCGCCAGCCACATACACCGGAGCTGGCCAGTTCAAACTCCTCCCGGGCCTGCCAAACAGCAATGACAACAACAACAAAATAGCCGGGCGTTGTGGCGGGTACCTATAGACCCAGCTACTTGGGAGGCTGAGGCAAGAGAATCACTTAAGCCCAAGAGTATGAGGTTTCTGTAAGCTGTGACGCCAGGGCACTCTACCAAGGGCGACATAGTGAGACTGTCTCCAAAAAAAAAAAAAAAGAAAGAAAGAAAAAAAAAGAAAAGAA